ATTCCAGTGTTTGGTCAAGATGTCAGTAGACTAAAAGAGTATCTATAAAAGTTTAATATACTATGTTACAATAAATTAAACAGATATTTACAATAAATTAAATGGATATTTACAATAAATTAAATGGATATTTAATGCCAGGGAAAGATGAAAAAAGAAATAAGACCAGTACGTTCCACATGTTTCACTACCAGTAAAATACTAGGTAAACATCCATCCATCATCCATCCTTCATCCATCCATCATCCAACCATTCATCATCCATCAAACATCCATCCAACTATCTATCCATCATCCATACATCCATCATTCATCCCTCCATCCATTATCTTTTACCCGTTTCTTCCCTCTGTCACTGGGGTCACTGGTGCCCATATCCAGCAGTCACTCCGCTCCAGTTTCCTGGAATATCTTGGAAAAAGATCTGAAACTCTCGATCTTGACCTCTCTAAGTGGCTTCAAACATCTGTTAAGTTTCTGGCAAGAACCAATGCAGACATGTTCCTGTTTTTAGTTTTCTACATCGCCCTATAATCTAGCTGTTTTTTCGCTACTTTTCCTTTTAATTAGCATTTTATTTTCACTTGTTTAATTTTTTTTTTGAAAGCATCCTTTGTGATTGTATATTATTGTCTTTGTTGTCCACTGTTGTCATCACTTTTTGTTAAAAACAGGTCTCTCTTGTAAATGAGTCCCTGATGCTCAATGGGACTAACCTGTATAAATAAAGGTTGAATGAATTGTGAGGGGGACACCCTGGACAGGTGATAGGTAAACAGTTTTGGAGGCATGGGTTGTGTTTTTTTTCCTGTAAAAAAAAAAAACAAGCAAACAAAGGAAAGTTTCTATTTAATTTGTGAATGCAGCTCTGTTTTAGATTGAACTGTAGAAATAACGGCAATAATGCTGTGTGCTGAATGTCTGCTGAACAAGCTTAATTTGAGCTATTAAAGTTAAAAAATTAGAACTGAAGCTGAAATAGGCAGAACACAAGCTAAATGCAGCAGAAGATAAAAACTAAAAGTGTGAAAGAGTTCCTAACAGCAGCAGAACATTAGCTAAAAGCTATAAACATGATGCTCAAAGCAGCCAAGCAGCAGTTAAAAGAATCAGAATGGAAGCTATAAACAGCTAAACTGTAACTAAATGCCCACAAAAGTTAAGTCTGGTCCTCTGAACAGGTTCGAAAAAAAAAAAAAAATTGTAAAAACGTTTCGTCTTTCATCCAAAAGACTTCCTCAGTCTAACTAAATGCATTATGCATTATTATACATGTACCTTTTTGATTTAGATAAACAATTTAAACACATTTAGGATTTAGCTTTAACTTTTAATTACACAAAAGAAAATGTTTAGCTACCAAAATGTATTTTGTACACAAAAGGCGTTTATGAGCAAAATATAAGGAAAGTGAGCTAAAAACTAGGAATGTGTCAGTGACATTTTGAACTGATCTGAAGCAGTTTACAGAAAGAGGACCTGTTTTTGAAGAAACTGAAGAGATCTCCGTGCTCGACGTACTAACCACATTATTTACCTCATGAGTTTACGGCGGTGCATATCATTGTTGTCTATATAGCACCGGATGCTAATGCTAAAGATGCTCTGCAGGAGCTACGTGATAACATCAGCTCAATGCATAACAAACATCCAGAAGCTTTTTACGTGGTGGTTGGTGATTTTAATTGCGTAAATCTGAAAGACACTCTGCCAAGATTTTATCAGCATGTGACCATTCCAACATGGGGAAATAACACACTCGATTGTGTTTACGTCAACATACGAGATGCATATAAAGCTGTACCCCGCCCACACCTCGGCCTCTCTGACCACATCTCCATCTTTCTGGCTCCTGTCTACCTCCCCCCCTGCTAAGACGGTCCAGACCAACACAAAGTTACACACAACCAAAGAAACATCAGGGGGTGGGTCAGCTACAGCTGCAGGACTGTTTTGCACATACAGACTGGCAGATCTTCAGGGAGGACGCTGTAAATGAAGGAGAGCTGGATCTGGATGAATACACATCTAATGTCCTCGGATTCATCAGCAAGCGTGTTGATGATGTCACCACCACCAGGACTGTGAAGTGCTACCTGAACCAGAAACTCTGGCTGAAAGCCAGGGATACTGCCTTCAGGTCTGGTAAGTCACAGGAACTGAGGATGGCAAGGAAACTGCTGGCTGCTGGTATTAAGAGGGCCAAAGCAACATACACATGCAAGAGCCAGGGACATTTCTCCTTACAGGACCCACGGAGCATGTGGAGGGGCATTAAGTGCATCACAAACTATAAAAACAGAGGTGCACAATGCCCTTGACTCACCACTGCCTGATGCTCTTAGCAGGTTACTTAACCTTAACAGGTCACAAAGTCACTGGCCCAGACAACATCCCGGGGAAGGTGCTAAGAGACTGTGCCGATCAGCTCTGCGAGGTGCTGGCCAATATCTTTAACTCCTCCTTCACCCTGGAAATTGTTCCCACCTGCCTAAAGACCTCCACCATCACCCTAGTCCCAAAGAACTCTACAGTGACTGGTCTGAATGATTATCGGCCAGTAGCCCTCAACCCGATAGTCGCTAAATGCTTCAAAAGACTGGTCATGACCCACATCAAAACTACCATCAACATCAGCGAGGACCCTCACCAGTAGACATACTGCAAGAATTGATCAACAGAAGACGCCATCTCCTCTGTGGTCCACACTGCTCTCACCTGGAGCAGAAGGACTCTTACATCCATATGCTCTTTGTGGACTTCACAACCGCCTTCAACACCCTGATCCCCCAAACCCTGATGGACAAACTACTCACACTAGGACTAAGCCCCTCCATTTGTAACTGGGTCCTGGACTTCTTAACAAACAGACCACAGTCAGTGAAGATCCACAACTTCTCCTCCTCCACCATAACCCTCAGCACTTGTTCCCCTCAGGGATGTGTGCTGAGCCCTCTCCTGTTCACTCTGCTCACGTATGATTGTGCAGCTACCCATCCAGGCTGTCACATTGTAAAGTTTACAGATGATACAGATGTGGTAGGATGCATCTCAAACAATGATGAGTCCAGCTACAGGCAGGAGGTGGAACACATAGAGAGCTGGTGCAAAAAGAATAACCTTCACACCAATGTGAAGAAGACAAAGGAGATGATTGTGGATTTCAGACAGAGCAAACACCCCCCACCCCCAATATAGGAGGATCTGCATTGGAAGTGGTCTCCTGCTACAAGTACTTGGGTGTGCACCTGAATTACAACCTCAGCTGGAGCAACAACACCACCAGCCTGATCAAGAAAGCTCATCAGAGACTCTACTTCCTCAGGCAGCTGAGACGAGCTGGTCTGGGAAGCTCAGTCCTCAGCTCCTTCTACAGGTGTGCAGTGGAGAGCATCCTGTGCTCCAGCATCAACGTGTGGCATGGAGGCTGCACAGCTGCAGAAAGAAAAGCTTTGCAGAGAGTGGTGAAGGCTGCACAGAAGATGTTGGAGTTAGTTTCCCCACCATCACAGACATCTACACCTCCAGATGCAGGAAGAGAGCCACCTGCATCATGAAGGACCCCACTCACCCAGCACACACACTTTTTGCCCCACTCCCCTCAGGAAGGAGGTTGAGGAACATTAAGTGTAGAACCACTAGACTGAGGAACAGCTTCTACCCTGAGGCTGTTAGACTCATGAATCTCTAACCAGGATAATCACTGTGATGACACTTTATCCATGCTGCTGATTTCTTACCTTTAAGCTGCTGTATTCATCCCATCTGCTCACAACAGACTCATGTTCAGGCTGCTGTTTAATTCACCATATTATTTTATATTATTAGTGTTTAGCATACGTCTTATCCTTATATGTTTTTTTATACTTTATATTTTTGCTATTTTTGGAAGTAACTGGGACCTCGAGTACACAATTTCGTTCCACCTCATGTACCACATGTGAATGACAATAAAGAACCTTGGACCTTGAACCTATAGGGATTATTTTATTAAGCAAAGTTAAATAACTGTCTTTTGAAAAGTATAAAAGCTACAAAAAGTCAATTAAACGGTTTCTTCTTCTTTCTGCAGTCCCCTCTTCCCAGCTGTCTCAGCCTTCACAAACTGATTTGATGTTTTCATGAAATGGTACAGATCATGATGCTGTTGGGATGGAAGCTGATCGTGTGCTGACGGTCAGAACCTGGCAGAGCAGAGCTCCATCAGCAGTCTGCTGTGTTGCTGCTGCTTCCTCTGTGGGCTGCAGGCCAGCCAGGGTGATGGACAGCTCGGGAGGCGCCTTGGAGGGTGTTTGGAGGTGGTGTGGCTGCAGCCCCCTGGGTGGGGGCCCTCTGCTCACAGGGGCGTGGTTCTCCTCCTGCCTCCATCTGAATCAGCACCAAGAAGAGCAGCACTCATGAAAACTCCCAAATATTAACTTTACAGCCCTGACACTGATCTAACTTTGACATTTTCTGCAGGGACCATGTTTAGATCAGCAGTGATCAGAATCTTTATTAGTGATTAAAACATTGTTTTTTCTCCTGAGGGTGCAGGAATCAGAACGATTCATCCCATAATGCGGATGTGAGGGGAACGAGGGCGTCTGTGCACACTGCAGCACCAACACTGCCCAGCATCGATCTCATTTGGCATTCTGCTGGGGCTGCAAAGAACTAAACTGCAATGACAGTGGGCAGAAGAGACCCGGGGAACGGGAGATAAAACCTGCACGAGCGGTTTTTATAATAATGTTTAATTTGCGATAAATGCGCGCGTTGGGTTAAAAACGCGTGGTCCAGAACAAACGTGGTGGTTTTGAGTTGCTGTGTTTAAGTTTGTGGGGGGTGTGCAGGTCAGAGAGAAGACGAGGTGCATGCGCTGACTTGTGTCTCGGGGGGTGGGGATCTTTGTGCGCGAGCCCCCAGGTTTCCCTCAGCCCCCTGCTGTCGCTGCGTCACATGATGCGCCGCGGCGCTCCGACTATAAAAGCACCTGTCCTGCAGCCTGCACCCGCATCACTTCTCTTCTTCACGCGCGCTCACCATCACACACTTCTGAACTCCACACACACTTTTTTTCCTTCCCCCTACAAAGCAGAAGCCGGACCCCCCCTCGCGCAGAGGAAACATGAGTTACTCCAGCGACATTTACAGCAGCAGCTCCTATCGGAAGATCTTCGGGGATGCGCCCCGCAGCGGCCGCGTGGGTCTGGGCGGCGGCAGCAGCCCGTCCCGCCTGCAGCCCGCGGGGTACCGCAGCCACCGCACCTACGGGTCCCCCTCCGTGGTGTCCTCCACCACCTACCGGCGGAGCGCGGCACCCGGCCGCGTCTTCTCCTCCATCCCGGACTCGGCCGTGGACCTGAGCCAGTCCACCGCCGTCACCAACGAGCTGAAGATCATCCGCACCAACGAGAAGGAGCAGCTGCAGGGCCTCAACGACCGCTTCGTGTCCTTCATCGAGAAGGTCCACAACCTGGAGCAGCAGAACAAGGTGCTGGAGGCCGAGGTGACGCTGCTGCGCCAGCGCCACAGCGAGCCGTCGCGCCTGCACGAGCTCTACGAGCAGGAGATCCGCGAGCTGCGCGCGCGCGTCGAGGAGCTGACGCACGAGAAGAGCCAGATGCACCTGGACTGCGTGCAGATGAGCGAGGCGCTGGAGCGCGTGCGGGAGAAGCTGGAGGAGGAGAGCAGGCTGCGCGAGGAGGCGGAGAACGCGCTCAAGGGCTACCGGAAGGACGTGGACGACGCCACGCTCGCGCGCCTCGAGCTGGAGAAGAAAGTGGAGTCTCTGCTGGACGAGCTCGCCTTCCTCAGGAAAATTCACGAGGAGGAGGTGCAGGAGCTGCAGACCTCCCTGCAGGCCACGCAGGTACAGAAGTCTGAAGCTGCTGGAAGTTCCAACAAGTTTGCGTCAATAATCCCAATCTGACCCAATCTGCGTTATTAAAGTCACTCACACAAAGTTTTTAATGAGGAAACTATTAGAAGTTCAATCAAAACCCCAGAGACCACCAGAAAGAGTTCATCCTGACATTTAAAAGTCTTATTAAAGAAGCTTTCTCTGTTTTTAAATGCGCCACAGACTCCGGGTCCTCTGCAGAGGACAACTGATGGCGCTGCAGTCCAGCGCCACGCGCTGTCCCTGCAGCAGGCGCGCGCCCGCCCGACCAATGTTCACATAACTTTTCTTCCTGTAACAAAGCAACAAAACGTTTGGTGCTTCCAGGTGCAAGGTGTTAGTGGAGGTAGAGTTATTGTTGATGAACAAGGTGAGGAGGGATGGAAGGAGGAGAGATGCAGAATAGATGCGCTCTAATCTTTGGGTGTGGTCTCTGAAGGACAGCAGGCAGCACCAACACGCTGCTGTAAACTGGTTGATGATAATCAGCTTCCCACAATTACCACTGCAGGAAAATGAGGTTCATACAAAAAGAAAAGTCTTTGAGGTTTTGGACTCACTGTGTCGCAGATTATCCTGATTCATGCTCATTGTCGCAGATTGTTTCTTGAAAAGGTCAAAACCGTCTCTGGCCCTGCATGAACTGGCTGCTGAGGCCTAAAGTGGTTCAGTTTCCTCTGGGTCTCTCAGTAACGCCCTGCAGGGAGGACCGGCATGTCTCGTGTTGACAGTGCAGCGTTCTGCAGCCTGAGTCAGCATCACCTCATACATTTTAATGTCACTCAGAGAAACACGTTCAAACTGAACGAACTGCAGCTGTGGAAATAAAAACATGTTCACTCGCCCAGACACATGTTGGCTCAGTCAGTCGAACTTGTATTAAAACAACAGAACACCATTTTTCTACAGCATCATCGATAAATAAGCATTTTAAAAAGTATTTTCTCATATTTTTCCTGTGTTGCCCTCAGGTTTCAGTGGAGATGGACATGAGCAAACCAGACTTGGCTGCAGCTCTGAAGGACATCCGGGCCCAGTATGAGAACCTGTCCGCTCGGAACCAGGTCCAGGCGGAGGAGTGGTACCGCTCCAAGTTTGCCACGGTCACCGAGGCTGCTGCGCGCAACCAGGACGCCATCAAGCACTCCAAGGAGGAGCTGAGCGAGTACCGCCGGCAGGTGCAGGCCCGCACCCTGGAGATCGAGGCCCTCAGGAGCCACAACGAAGCCCTGGAGAGGCAGATCGCTGACATGGAAGACCGCCACAACAACGAGGTCGGAGAGATGCAAGTGAGTACAAACAGCACGAGGAAGCTCAAGTTTATCTGTGAGGCACATTTCATACATGGCAACCCATGTGCTCTTAAGTAAAAACCAAAGAGCACAAAACAAAAAGATTCCGATCCGGCCGTGATGATCAGTGTTTGATTCTTGTGTGCAGGACACCATCCAGCAGCTGGAGGCCGCGCTGCACAGCACCAAGGGGGAGATGTCCCATCATCTGCGCGAATACCAAGACCTGCTGAACGTCAAGATGGCGCTGGACATCGAGATAGCTGCTTACAGGTTTGTTTAAATAGAAACTGCACACCCATGTGCACAAATAACTTTTGCTCAGCTGCACTTTCCGGTGAATATGCACTGTATCATAGCTGAGTGATTTTAGCTGAAAGCTGCTGAAGAAGCTGAAATCAGGCTGAAAAGGTTTAATCTCTGAACTGTTAATGTTTATTGAACAGCTGACACGTGCTGAAAGGAAACTAAAAGTGGAAAGCTGCAGAACAACTGAATACATGAACAAAATAAACTGGAATAGAGAGAGGCTGAATTGATTACAACAATCTGAAATGAGCAGGCAAAAGGCTGAAATTGACAAAAACGTAGCTGAAAAGGGAAAAAAAGAGCTGAAATTAACAGAAAGATGCTGAATGTAGCAGTAAACAATGGAATTATTAGAATGAAGGACAAAAGAACAAAAAGCATGAATAAAAGCTAAAATTAGCTGAAAGTACCTAAAGGTAGTTGTAAAAGAACAAAAGATGAAGCTTAAATTAGCAGAAAGACGGTGAAAGTAGCAGAAAAGTAGATAAAAACGACTGAAACAAGCAGAACTGAGCTGAAAGAAACTGAAATTACCACAAAGAAGCTGGAAAAAAGCTGAACTAGAATAAAAGTTGAACTAGGAAAAAAAAAAGCTGAAATGAGCAGTTAAATGTTTTAAACAGCTCTAAGTGTTTTGAAGGATGTGAAGAGAGCTCCATTCATTTTCAATGAAGAAAACATGGCAGAAAAATCCATACATCCATCATCTTTTACCCGCTTCTTCCATTTTGGGTCATGAGGGTCGTCGGTGCCCATGTCCAGCAATTACTGTGCGAGAGGCAGGGGACACCCTGGACAGGTCTCCAGTCCATCACAGGGACACATAGAGACAAACAACCATTCACTCTCTCACCTAGGGATAATTCAAAGTTACCAATCAGTCTAACATGCATGTTTTTGGTCTGTGGGAGGAAACTGGAGTACCTGTAGAAAACCCACACATGCACGGAGAGAACATGCAAACTCCACCCAGAAAGGCCCCTGGACCGGGATTTGAACCAGGCACCTGCTCACTGAGAGGCAGCAGCTCTACCAGTTGCACCACCGTGCTTATAATAAAAAATACATGAGTTAATTAGTTGCCCATTGTGAAAATTCCATCCATCAATTATATTTACCCACTTCTTCCTTTTCAGGTAACTAACATGCATGTTTTTGGTCTGTGAGAGGAAACCCACACAGCATGCAGAGAACATGCAAACTCCACCCAGAAAGGCCCAGGGCCGGGATTCGATCCGGCGACCTTCTCGCTGAGAGGCGGCAGCTCTACCAACTGTGTCACCGTGCTGCCTGATTGAGAAATATTCAAACAATTATACTCTACAAAATCTCCCGTGTCCAACAGCTACAGTTTACAAGGAGAGATTAATGCAAAAATCTGCAGCGTCTTGTTTCAAACAGTTTCCTCTGCGACGAGAAGAGCAAAGAAACAAAATGTGGAATGTTTCAGAGAGGAATTCAAAGTTCACGCATGACATACATATGGGCGTCAGTGACTGCGTGGTTAGAGCAGTCATCCTCCAGTGCAAGAGTTGGGGGTTCGATTCCACCAGCAGTCACATGCTAAAGTGTCTCTGGGCAAGACACTGAACCCCTCACTGCCTCTGATGTGTCCCATCGTCATATGAATGTGATAAAACACTGATTAGTCTTTGTACAGATCTGTTAGAGTGCTGTAGGGATGGGTACATGAGGACACAGATTGTGTTGTAAAGAGCTTAGAGTGTCTTGATAAGACAGAATGGATCTATATAAGTACAGTCCATTTACCATTTATATGATGTTTGGACCAAACTCACCCAAAAGAAAACTTCACATCTGTCCAGCATCTGGTTTATGAAACCTGGCCCTTGTTATTAAAATATTGATATTAAACTGCTCTGATGATAAAAAGACACTCAGAGTCTGAAGGAGGCCTCATCTTTACCGTCTGTTTGGTGAAGGAGACCTCATCTTTACCGTCTCTTTGGTGAAGGAGGCCTCATCTTTACCGTCTGTTTGGTGAAGGAGGCCTCATCTTTACCGTCTGTTTGGTGAAGGAGACCTCATCTTTACCGTCTGTTTGGTGAAGGAGACCTCATCTTTACCGTCTGTTTGGTGAAGGAGGCCTCATCTTTACCGTCTGTTTGGTGAAGGAGGCCTCATCTTTACCGTCTGTTTGGTGAAGGAGGCCTCATCCTTACCGTCTGTTTGGTGAAGGAGACCTCATCCTTACCGTCTGTTTGGTGAAGGAGACCTCATCCTTACCGTCTGTTTGGTGAAGGAGGCCTCATCTTTACCGTCTGTTTGTGTCTGAGCAGGAAGCTGCTGGAAGGTGAGGAGTGCCGCCTCAGCTCTGTCGGCGGCGTCATGATCCAGTCTGGATATTCTGGTCTGTCCTACACCTCGGCCCGCTCCTACGCTCTGGGAGCTTACCGGAAGTCCAAGCCTGATGAGGAGGAAGAGGAGGCGGGAGAGGAGGATAAGGAGGAGGAAGAGGAGGAGGAGGGAGAAGAGGAGGAAGGAGAGGAGGGAGAAGGAGAGGAAGGAGATGAGCAGGAGGGAGAGGAGGAGGAAGAGGAAGGAGAGGAGGAAGAGGAGGAGAAGCCAAAGGAGAAGGAGAGCTCCACCGGGAAGAACAGCAAGAGCTAAACTGCTTGTTTCATCCCCTTCATCATCATCATCATCAATAACTCATTCCACCTCCCACCAGTCCCTGATGGAGCTGGTCCCAGTTCAGTCCACCTCTGTCTCACGCTCACACACTCACACGTGCACACTCCAGACGCCTCTCACCTTCTGCTGGTCTGCTCTGCAGCCTGGTCCGTTCCCACGGAGCTTTAGTAACTGTGCCGTCACTGGTCCCATCACACGAGAAGGTAACACACTGTCAGCACACAGACTCTGAAGAGAAATGCACAGAGAAGCAGCCGGTCCGACTTTTATGGTGCTATTTGGTTTTTACATATAAAAGTTGGGGAGTCCTGTTCTGTCAGTAAAATATTTTCTCACAGAGCGAAGCCCCACCAGCTCATTCCTGAACGCCAGCTTTCTAAAGCAGGAACGATTGTCTGTGAGCTGGACTTCAGCAGATTAATGCTCATTTCGTTTCATCTCATTTTAATTTACTGCAGCAGGAAACGACAGCAGCTCTGAGCCTGAAGGAGCCGTGCGTGGAGGTGGTGTTTTCAGCTGCAGGGGTGGAGGAGTGCTGCTGCTTCTCTATGTGGATGAAAAGAGTTTCTATCGCTGCTATGTGTCTTTGTGGGGGAATATAACCAACCCCTTCCTTTGATTGATTCATTTGTCAAACCCTTTTCTCATTTTCTTCATAAATATCTTTTCTAGTCATAAATGTCTTGGTCCTTTAGTGTCTTGATGCTGAAGACAGGACGTGAGCGAAGCAGTCAAACATCTGATGGAGACCCTGCTGGCTTAGAGTCACAAATAAGGGCTATATTGGACACAACCCTCACGTTGCCCTGACTTGTTGCCATCCTTCTGCTCCGTTCAGTTTCCTCCTCCACCCGTCGTTTTGACAAATGAATCAAGCAGCAGGTTTGAATGCATGGCCTTACACCTGGAGCTTGAATATTCGCTGGATGAAATAGACTTTTGCTTGTTGTGTGTTCAATTTACGAGATAACAATAAAAAAATTCATTAAAGTAACCCTGCCTTAACCATGATTGGAAGCTGAAATCCTGTTTCATCTCGCCTGTTCCTGGTTAGACGGAGGAGTGCGGACACTTTCCAGGTTCTTCTGCTTTACAACTGTGATCTTCCACTCAAAGCCAAATAAAAACATTTATTAAACAAAAAACACACATCGCCTCTGTGTCATCCATCCACATTAAATCTAAAAACACAATTAGAGCACGACTGAAAGGAACATCATTACATTTTATTACTGATTATTACAAAACTATAGAGGTTTGTACAATATTTTTACTTTCTATTACCGACCTGTGCAGCTTGGCATTAATCTAGTCTTTGGTTGATCTTGAAGGATTACAAGAATAAAATAAGTTATTACCATGGTCAAATTAAAGATCATTGGGTTTAAATGAAGCCAAATGTAAAACGTTGCGTACAAATATAAATTCTTATAGTCATCACTTGTATGGAACTGACTGTGAGAGTAGCAGTGAAACTGAATATGATGTTTCCAAAAAATGTAACCAAGGGGGAGAAGGTAAATGATAAACAACAAGGGTCCCAGGACAGAGCCCTGGGGAACACCTGAGGTAACAGGACCACGATGAGATGTGGATGATTTTAAGTGAACAAACTGAGTGCGGCCTGAAAGGTATGAATGGAACCAGTTGAGAGATGTATTATGCCAAGAGAGGAAAGTCTGTCCAGAAGAATGTTGTGTGAAATTGTGTCAAAGGCCGCAGTCAGATCAAGCAGGAGGAGTATGGATAATAAATCAGAATCAGCAGCAATGAGAAGGTCATTGGTGATTTTAATGAGTGCTGTTTCAGTACTGTGAAGCGGACGGAAACCAGATTGAAATTGTTCGTATAAATTATTACAAGACAAATGAGCATGAAGTTGAGCGGCTACTGCTTTTTCAAGAATTTTGGAGATGAATGGAAGACTTCAAATAGGGCAAAATTATCGAGTTATTGGGATCTAAACCAGGTTTTTTGAGTATTGGAGTTACAGCAGCTGTTTTGAGAGCAAGGGGAACAATACCAGTAGTAAGGGAAGAATGGATAATATCTGTGATGAAAGGCGACAAAGAGGGAAGGGTAGCTTGAACAAGAACAGCTGGACGGGGATCTATTTGACAAGTTGAAGATTTTGATTTTTGAATTAATTTGGAGATGCCATTGATTGAGGGGAGAGTAAATACAGAAAGTGAATTAGTAGGGGCAGCTGGAACTGGAACAGATGTTATTGAAGCCATAGTGGGTAGCAATTGTTGGTGGATATGTGCTATTTTTGAATAGAAAAAGGATACCAAAATGTTACAAAAATCAGAAGAATACAAATGAGGAAGTGAATCAGGTGGTTTTGTAATATTTGTAAGTAGGGAGAAGAAGGCCTTGGAATTACTCTCATTTGAACTGATTAAACTGGAATAATAAATGGATTTGGCTGTAGAAATGGCATCTTTGCAGTATAGAATGTGATTTGAATACACGTCTTTGAGCACAGTGAGACCAGCTTTCCTATAGAGTCTTTCAAGTTGAAATCTGTTTGCTTTTAACTGTCTAAGGGTGGAAGTAAACCAAGGTGCAGTATGAGTGAATGAAACTGATCTGGTTTTAATGGAGCAAGATTGTTTAGAAGGTTATGAAGGTATTTGTTATAGTGTGAGAGCAGTTCATCTGCAGTAGAAAACTGGTCAGCACTGGGAAGATTATTGATACCAGAAGATAAATTATCCAAGTTAATGTCCTGAATTTTACGAAAAGTTATATTACGTGGGGGTTAGATTTAGAAAGGGAAATATTAACTCAAAATGATAAAAACATGTGATCTGAAAAAGGGAAGGAATCGGCTTTACAGCCAACAGGTTCAACACCTGAGCAGCAGATTAAATCCAAAATATGTCCTTTAATATGTGTGGGGAAGTTCGTATAATGATGTAGTCCAAAACTGTCCAAGCAGGATATGAAGTCTTAGGTAAGAGGATTATTATCATTATGTACATGAATATTAAAATCCCCCAGAAGTATTATATTTGGTGAAACTGTGGAGAAATGCATCAGAAATCCTGCACGTTCTGTAATAAAATCTTTGTTCTGTTTTGGGGGTCGATACAAGACGGCAATAATAGTGGGAGTTGTTCCAGAGAGCTGACATACAGATACTTCAAATGATTGACAGACAGGAACAGTTACAGGCGCTACCCTCCACTACTTGCGGTAGATTATCGCGAGACCTCCACCTCGACCAGACTCATGAGGTAGAGCGGTGTAAACAAACCCCAGAGGAGTAGCATCACTGAGTGAAGTAAAGTCGTTCGGCTGTGGCCACGTTACAGTGAAGCATAGAAAGTCCAACTCACTTCCTGCACAAGACAACCCTTACTTGCAAGCGAGCGGATGTTGAAGAGACCAAAGTTGATGGTTTAATTGTGATGGTGGCGTTATCTGACCGAGCCAAGCGGGCCAACACACTGCGATCAGCGCGGCAACCAGTGCTCCTCGGTGGACGACGAGCAGTAGATCAGATAGATGCAATGGAGTTGGGTCCATCACAGCAGACGATCCTGCGAGAGTCTCGGTGAGTGTATTTCTGATGGGGCCGGTAGAAGATGTCTCGTGTAGGAGCAGAGCTGGTGGTGGTGGCCCATTTAGATGTAAACAGAGCTTATAAAGCTCAGTGGCAGAGTACTGGAGTATTGCTGTCGTTGGGTGATGGACCAAAAACAGGACAATCCAGGCTAGTACAAGCCACACATAGTAGGCCCAAATAGTGGGCAGGGACATGTCAGCAGGTAGGCTGATGTCTTAGTTCAGACAAAACAGAGGCAGGTACTGAATCAGAAGTCTAAATTAATGAGCTGACAGCTCATAGATAACAAAAGGCAAAGTCTTCAGATGATAAAATTACTAAACAAATACTAAAAAACTGAAAAAGAAGCCGGGGAGCAGCGGCTACAAGACGCGCCAGCGTTCACTCTCAACCGGAAGTTCTACCCACTTGAATATCTTTCACTAGAAACATTAAAGGTTTACTTTCATTCCCTGTTCAATTCCAGTCCAGAAAAACACTCTTCTTGAAAACTACCAACATTCAATATTCAAATCCTTCAGCACTGGGGGAACATTGGCTTAAATCTTGTTCACTCATCTTTGCCTTTCCAGATATCTGTCTCCAGCAATCATTGAGCGAGAGACAGGGGGGGCACCCTGGACAGGTCTCCAGTCCATCACAGGGACACATAGAGACAAATGAGACAACCATTCACTCTCTCACTCACACCTAGAGACAATTTAGAGTTACCAATCACACTAACATGCATGTTTTTAGTCTGTGGGAGGAAACTGGAGTACCCAGAGAAAACCCACACATGTGTAACCGTGCTGAACTTGGCAGGATATTAATTCAGCTTGGTCCAAATAATATCAACCTGTCAGTTTGTTTAATTCTTCTTATAGTTCACTCTGCATTGTGTTTAATGATGACCAGAAGACGAGCATTGAACTGAATGCTGTTTAATCTGCATAAAAAACAAAATGTGCACTGGTCAGAATCATGGGCTCATTGCAGCAGGTACAGCACCTTACGAGGAATAGCATTGTACATTAGCATCAAGCTAGTGGATATTTTCTGGTGTATAGTAGTCAAATAAATTGATATGAACTCATAAAATGTACAATATATATATTATTATTGTCCTGATCGACCTACGTACATCTTACAGTTAGTTAGTGTTCATATAACAGACAAAGATCAACAATACACCATATTTTACCACAATGCTAAATATTAGTGAACCCACCTGGAAGCGTGGTCAGCGTGCACTGCACTTACCACAACCAACCACAGAGAGAGGGGGGCGCTGTTTCACCCTTTATACATGAGCCGGTGAAAAGTAATAACAAGTGGAATCATTTAGCACGGTGGCGCAACTGGTAGAGCTGCTGCCTCTCAGCGAGCAGGTCCCTGGTTCAAACCCCGGTCCAGGGGCCTTTCTGGGTGGAGTTTGCATGTTCTCTCCGTGCATGCGTGGGTTTTCTCCGGGTACTCCGGTTTCCTCCCACAGTCCAAAAACATGCATGTTAGGCTGATTGGTAACTCTAAATTGTCCCTAGGTGTGAGTGAGAGAGTGAATGTTTGTTTGTCTCGTTTGTCTCTATGTGGCCCTGTGATGGACTTGCGACCCGTCCAGGGTGTACCCCGCCCCTCGCACAGTGATTGCTGGACATGGGCACCAGCGACCCCCGTGACCCAAAATGGAATAAGCGGGTAAAGAAAATGGATGGATGGATGGATGGATCATTTACCACATTAATCCTGTTGCACATGCAGGGAGAGAACATGCAAACTCCACCCAGAAAGGCTGGCTGCTGAGAGGCAACATCTCCAACCACTGTACAACCGTGACAAATAAGTTATTAATTATTAATGTGTCAAGTTGTAAAAGTTATTTTATATTTTTCAGAACTTTATCAATATAAAGGTGCAGCATTAATATATATTGTGACTCAGACCACCTGTGAACAGAAATATAAATGCATTATTTGCATGATATTGCCAGTAAAGCTCACTGTGATGAACTGTGATGAACTGTATCAATGTGTTTTCTGAAAACATGAACTTACCAAATGCTGTATTTTAGTTGAGTCTGAGTTTTGTTTCATTGTTCCTCTCAGTCTGTTCTCAGATTTCTTTCTCTCTACTCCCCATAATGCATTGTCTTTGTTCACTGATTGTTACACATCTCATTGTATCACAGTTAATTCATTGGAATATTCTACCTGCTTTTCTGTGATTGACCAAGTTAGTATTTTTTACTACTGAATAATATTTATTTTCAGGTTGATTGTGTGGGATTCCAGTGTTTTCCCTCGGCAATTCCTCTTGTGACAGGCAGGCATTGAGAGGTAACAGCTGGGACCAGTCTGGTCCTGCTGGCGTGTTTCTTCCAGCTCTGGAACGTTACATACCAACTGGTGAAAAAGAAACAGTCCAGAGGACCTGACTTCAAT